ACCTACTATATATATATATATATATATACATTGTCACAAAATTCTAATTTCTTTTTTACAGTTGTGTATCATTTCTATGAATGATGAAAGATAATACCTATAAAAACATACAGTTTTAAATAAAATCAAATAATAAAATGAGAAAATAATTACAATTAAATATTACCAAATTGTAAATACATATGCACATACACGATAAAGACGCCTTTATGAATATGTGTGTTAGACGCTAATCGATTTTTCAGTTCTGTGAATTTTAAAATAATTTTCGTATAATTCTGAATGTAATTAAAACATTTTCCAAAGAGTGCTAATTGTAGATATCTATTTATTTTTTAAGTAATTTTTATCATTTGAGAAAGGCGCTTTTATGAAATATATATTGAAAAACGGGCTAATATACATGATAAGGTGCATTTCGTTCTTATGGATCTATCGTCGTCGAGCATTAAATATCGGGATGCATATAGATCCCATAATATGCATAATTATCCCATTTTCACATTTGCAGGCATGATAAATAACTGTACTCGACAGAAAAAAAAACCAGCTTTGCAAGATTGCTTTATAAGATTTTTATGATTGGTTCTTGATTTTAATTCTTCATTGAATTGAAATGTATTAACTAATCATATTATAAAGAATTAACAATTGCAAAACTGCTTTTTCTGCTGAATGCAGCCAATATTAGAAGCTCGCGAATCAAGATTGAATTGAAACAAATATTTGATAACATGTTTAAAGTTGAATTGAATCGAATCTGAAATTTTCAAATTGAATGAAAACTCTTTGATTTGAGTACAAATCGAATTTGAATTAAATTTTTCCCGATTTACATTACATACTAATTTAAACATAATTTATTTTCAGCAGCATAATAAACTTTTCTTAAATACAAAAAATTAATTACTGCAAGAATTTTAGAAACTAATTATAAAGGAATGATATATTAAATGAAAATTTATTTATTAGACAACGAATGCATATGTTATGCTGGTGGTAAGTGCATAAGTAAATAAATTTTTTATAAATTGATAAGTACATACACTACATATATTACATTACATACATTTATATATGTAGAAAAAATAAATTAATTTTTTAAATTTTTTTATTATAATTTTTTAATGTCATCTCATTTCTTATGCTATCTTATTAAGCATTTTCAAGCCACATGTCTATGTTGTTTCCGTGAAATGTAAGGAAAACAAATATCGAATTTAAAGCAGTCTTTCTCTTTATGTCTTTATCATTATCATTATCATTATTTATCATTTATCATTATATTGTACTGCAGGAAAAACCAAACAACGAATCAATGTACAATTGAAGGAAGCGTGGAGATAGCTGAAAATCACGTAGTTGCTTTACAAATAACATTTTGTATTGATATATAAGTAGTAATCGCGTATGTTATAGCAATGTATTAATATAATTTTCATAATTATATATTATTAATTATATATTATTTTATATAATTATTAATTATATATTATTTTATATATTAATTATATATTATTTAATTATATATTATACTGTGTACTATTTATATAGATGTCTACTTTATGAGTGTTAGATATATACACATAAATTATAATATTATTACAATGTTGAAGTGACAGTACTTTAGTATTTTATTATGAAAATATAATGAAATAATTTCACCTTTTGTTCTAAATATGGTAAAATTATGACACAGATTTAAAAAATAAAATGTTAAAATTTATGAAAGCGATTGCCTATTGCGTACCAAATTTGTGAGTAGTTTGTGAGATTTATAGACGATTTGAAAGTCGACAAACGATTAGAATATTTAAAAATGACTTTTATGGTAGATCTGAAAGAATTTATTAATCATTAATAACTTGAATTATTGTGCTAACAAAAATTTAAAATATCAAAATTTACAATTTATAATGTTTTATGCAACATTGATTCAAGAAAACAGAACATTTGTTTTCGATTTACATTTTATGACGAAAAATTGTAATCGTATATGATGATATTTTGACTAAAAAGTATCTAATTAATAAATATATAACATTATAAATAACTAGCAGTAATTGATCGTTTGCCTGAAGTTCCCTATAATTAGTTCCTATATCTACAATTTTACAACATATTTACAACAAAAACCCGATGAATGGAATTTATTATGATGATATTCCAGCTGAAAACAATGATAACAAGATTTCTCGAAACAATTCCGAAAGCGGATGTTTAGGAATCTACGAATGCATTGATTGGCCGTATTTAATATATTAATGTGAAACGATATTACTGAATAAAATGAATGATTTTTACACACATGGTCGTACTCAAAAGTTGATACGTTGCTTATAAGATTAATCGCGCGGGAATTATATGAAGCAATCAAAACAAGCAATTGATTCGAAATCAATTCATGGATGATTCGAAATTCTCAAACTATTTTAATTTCGATTCTGAAATCAAATTATTGTGATCCGATTCGATTTCGCACATCCCTAATTACAATATCGCGTGATTATTCATAATAAATTTACTTATTTTAATATTCATTAAAATAAATTTATTTATTTTAATATTCATAATAAATTTATCCGCAAATTATCATAGCAGCAAGTCTTATCGTTTCATTATTTAATAATCTTAATTAAAATAAAAAAAAATTAGAATATTAGTTAATTTTAATAACATTTAAATTGCATTTAAAAATAATAAATATGACTCTTTTATATATCTTATATTAAATATTTATTTATAAATACGTATATATAATCAATTAATTAAATAATAAAATTAATTAACAAAATAATAATAATAAAAATAATAATAATTATACTCTTCAATATTTACCATAATATCAATTATCCTCACTTTAAAAATCACATTAAATTAATTCATTCTCTTAAAGTAATTCTTTGCTTGTCGTCGCGCTGACTATAATGAATTTCACCGTCCTCCATCCCGCATAGGATTCTAAATGATAAATCTGATAATTTTTTCAAAAATTTCTGGCAGATTTAAGATTTATCTTTCTGATCCTAATACCTGTACCTCTTTTTTTCCTTGGTTTGAAAGTAAGGGGCATACGTACGAAGTGAATGCTTCCAACAGGTAGAGAGGATGATCCAACTGACCAATCAAAACCTTCGACTCAAATGGATGGTTAAATAATAATACGAGACTCTCTCTTTAATATTATTGGTAGGAGGAAGACAAGCAGCAAGAGGAGAGGAGAGAGGTGGGGGGGTGGGATATGCGCACAACATTCGACGCAACGTGCAGCAAATGCCGCGCTTGCGCATTATCTTGATTTCAATCAGCTAGAGCAGAGAGAGACGCCTGAAAGCGGCCATTTTGACTTATTTCATGATGCACAGTGAGCTAGAAGAAACTGGAAAAATACATTTTTCGACGTATTTCCAAATTAATTGTGCCATTTATTGTTATTTTCCTTACTCCTTCATGTAACTTTTCTCATCAGCATAAGATTCATAGCGTTTTTGTCACTCGTTCATTAATATGGACACAACTAAAATCTTTAATCCTGCTACAACAGATTTATATGAAAAATAAGCTATAATATGCTTAATAATTCCATGTAACAGATCTTATGCAGGCGATATATGTTCAATGAACTTTTTTAATGCAGAAAGTCACCGCTTATAAAAAATTATACTGCTTAATCTTAATTTTCTTATGGAAAATGTAATAAAATGAAAAAATATTTTTATTTTAAAATATTTAGATTATTCAATATCATTTAATGTACAGATCATATGAAAAAAACAAATCAAGTATAGTGGCATTTTTCATAATAATGCAGTACTTATAAATATTAAAAAAGGTTTTGCATTTCCCTTTTATCAAAAAATCATAAATGAAAAATCTAGTAAATTAATTTATTATTAATATATTTTTATTACACTATACGTAAGTTACATATTACATATATTTTAATATATCTTTATTGTATATATATATATATAAAGATATATTAAAGCTATTTCTTGTGTTTCTCTATATTTTTAGAATCTAAATTA